CCCTGATGAGAAGCTCCCGTCCTGCGCCAGCTGTTGCACCTCCACAAGGTAGCGCACTACCTGCTTCCCGTCCTCCTCTCCGACCGTTGAGTTGACAATGGCGACTCTCGTGCGATCTGACAGAAGGCGGTTGGCGCTCTCCTGCTGCTCATACTGTGTCTTCTGGAACTTCAGCTCCCGTAGCTCGCGCGTGAGCGACGACTTGCTTTTCCGTAGTAGCCGCAGCTCCTGGGCATCTCCTGTCAGTTCAGCCTTGTTGATCAGGGTGTCGAGCATAGCATCCTGCGTCTGCAGCTTGTTGATCTTGTTCGAGAGCCGCTCAATCTCGTGCGACAGCTGCAGGTCGCCCGGCCCCGCAAGCTGGAACGAGTCGTGCTCCTTCTCGTGCTCCGCATCCTCGTCCGCGCGCGGCGCCCCGTCCTCCTCTTCGATGTCGTCGTCAAACATCAGTCGGCGTTTCTCGCCCGGGAGGCGCGTAGCGGTCGTCATCAGCGAGTCTTGCACGCTGAGGTTGTCGGAGGAGCTGCCTGGATGTGTTTGGTCATGCTCCTTGTCCAGAGCAATGATATCCGTCAGCGCGGCTTGGATAGCTTCCATTCGCTGAGACTGCTCCTTCTGCTCGGCATCCTCAGGATCGTCGAAGAGTGGCGCACGGGAAGTTGAAGGTGAGTCACTATCATCCGCGACAGGCGACATCAGGACCTGCAGGTTCGAAACAGCAGGTCGTGGAGCAGGCTGCTGTGTGTGCGGCGGAGAGGTTGGTGTTGAGATGTGTCGAACCACTGCGGGAGTAGACTCGGAGCGAGCCAGCGGAGGCTTCCCGTGAGTCGATGCGGGAGTAGTGCTGGTCCGTCCTTTGGGCTCCGGGGCATGGCGGGCTGACGCAGGAGAGCGGTTACCTGAACCCAGAGGTGCATCATCTGTGCGTGATGCCCGACCATTGGCCTCGATGTCAGCAACGACCCGGAACCAGAGCTCTGAGCGCTGGAAGTCCTCGAAGTCTTGCTCCATTTGGCGTTCAACTTGCCTCTGCGCAAGCATGACACTTCGCCGAACCCGCCGCTCCGAAGCGGGCGTTGAGGTCTCCGCGCTCTGCCCAAAGGAACGGATTGTGGTAATATGCTTCGGCGATACTGCACTCAAGACCGGGTCCGGAACGGGGCTAGAGAAGTACAGCTCGTTGATCAACGAGATGTCCTCCTTGAGTGTGGCCGATTGTCCAGGGTCCAGCAGCGGTTCGTCCTCGTCGTCGGATGCATCGGAGTCGACCGACTCAAGCGGGTTCTTGAAGCTCTCGACGGTGAGCCAGAACTGTACCAAGAGGGAACGCTGTCGTCTGTCCATGAACTCCATGAAGTATGAGAGCGAGCTGGGGTTGGTCAAGATATCCCTCAGCGTCAGAGGAGACGTCGTTGGCGTTTCTTGGTATATGGTCTGTCTCTGCCACATTTATATACAGTCAGTCTCTGGCAACTGATGCACATGCGAACGCCTACCGAGTCTGCTTCGCCGCCGAGTAACACAATGCGCTTCTCCACTTTCCGCTTGGCAGTGTACAGACGATCAAGGAACGCAACGATATCTTCAGTCTTCTCGCCATTAATCCAGTCCGAGTTTGCGTTGTTAGCTAAGCATTACCATGAGTGGGTGCTTGTCCTGGAAGTGGACTGTATGCGTACCTAGCAGTGTGCGCGTACGCCTAATCTCGCCCATGATGTCATTACGCAACCTCCTCGCGTCGAGAAGCGATGAGCATCTGTTGATGCTTCGCAGGAAGGACTCGAATTGTTTGGGATCCGTACGAATGGTGATCTTCTCGGTTGTGGGATGAGTAGGGTCTGTGATCTGGGACTGCGGACGAGGAATTTGAGCCTCCAGGATATTCCGGACTTTGGAGATGAGTCGTCTGCCAAACGGAACGTCAGAGGCAACAGAGGTTCGTAACCCAGCGAGACGTACTGCTGGCGAATAGCAGCTCCTGCCTGGGCCGGGTCAGAGAGTGCTTGAAGATTCACACGTCACGACCACTCACAACTTGGTCGATCTGGCGATTCCAAAAATCAGGGTCGGATAACGTTTCCATGATAGGGTACAGAACGGCGCATGCAACTATCTCCCGGACGACTATCTTGACGGCGCGGCTCTGACCCTCCTTCTCCGGCAGTATGGACGGAAGGGCCTTCTCGACCAAGTCCCGAAGGTGATTCTCCTCCGACTGCTTCGTGAACGTAGATGATAGGTTCTCGACTGCAGGATGCAACTTGCCACCTCCTCTCGCCGCGTAACGACTGGCCAACAACAAATCCAGCTCCTCTGACTGCGTCAACTTGCGCTCGAGCCCGGCTCCCCGAAGCGCGACTTCGGATTGGCGAAACTGTTCGATGTGCGCGGTAACCTTCGGCAAAACGCGCCTGACGAGAAGGGCAGACAGGTCGAGGGTCAATGCCTTCGCGAGCAGCCGTTCCATGGAGGCATGCAGAGTAGAGGAGACCGCGGTGGGGAACGAAGGCGAGGAAGAGATCTCCTTGTACCATACCAGAACAAAATCGCGGACGATGAGGATGAGGATGTCATTGATTGCAGCTGAGACAACCGGCGCCTCGGGGTATAGTGGGGGTAAGGACTGAGGAGCCTTGTGCGACCATTGGGAGCGGGTCAAGACAGCTTGCCACGCCGCCGGGGTCGAGAATGCAAGCGGTCGAGCGGCCGTCGGGAGAATGTTGCGGGTAGGAGGACGTATGAGGTCCAAAACATATCCGAGGGCAATATTAGCAGCCAGAAACCCCAGGATAAGAAACAGCAGGAAGAAAGGCAGGAGGAGGATGATCGTAAGCGGGGACGAGAACAACCGTTTCAACAACGGCACACCGAGGCCAGCGAGGAGGAGCGAGATGACTACATGTCTGCTAGACATGTCCTCCGTGGGATGCGCGCGGGGCCTGGGTTTGCTGAGGTTGGACAGGCACCAGCAGGACGAGATGGTGGTGGTGGTGGTGGTGGTGGTAACTGCCCAAGATGCAAGCACTACATAGGGCAGTTGCAAGTGAGCGCCCATTACGGACCGGCGGGGCGCGCGACCCCAATTGCGCATCTCGTACTCGTCCGCCGTCTTGCAGGTCGTACGATATATACAGGTCTGACAGCGAAGAAGAGGAGCGTAAAGTAACGCAAGGGTGTATGAAACATCCACCTCGGGCTGTGTCACACAATTGCCGGTGTCTGACTTACTGACTCGCTCGGAGAGCCGCCCCTGCCAGCTTACGGAACGAGCTGCGTCGGTCTACTTTGCCACCATTCCTGCCCCGCTTGCCGGCATACCACCACCATCATGAGCACCTCCGCTGCACCGAGTCGACCTCTCTCCACCATCGAAGGCTTCATATGCGGCGGAACGGCTGCCTGCGTAGCCGTACGTCCTGCTTCACTAGACTTGTGGCTTCTCCGTACCATCCAGCTGCTCTAGGTGACGGTATCGAACCCGGCCGAGGTCGCGAAGACGCGGATGCAGCTGCAAGGCGAGCTTGCGAAGAAGGGCACCGAGAAGGTATACAGGAACTCGCTGGACGTCATTGCGAAAACATGGCGGAACGAGGGCATCCGTGGCATTCAGAGAGGGTTGGGTCCCGCTGTGAGTGTATACGATGTTCCTGACGCGTCAATACCCCTCTAATCCCTTCCAGTATATTTACCAAGTGAGTGCGCTTGGTGTGCATGTCGTGACGATCAACTCACACACGCTAGATCCTCATGAACGGCTCCCGCCTGGGTGAGTCACGCGTCGATGATCATATATTGCTCTCGTTCCAACAGTACTCTCCCATCAAGGTTTCTATGAGCCTATACGCAAGCAAGTGAATACTCTCATTGGCGCGAACCCGATAGACCAGATTCCCCTCACGTCGATGTTCTCGGGTGCCGTAAGCGGAGTGATTGGAGGTGAGTGTACAAGACTACGTTCACTAACTCCGCGCTGACGCATGTATCTGTGTTCTAGCGAGTTTCGGCAACCCATTCTTCCTTATTAAGGCGAGAATGCAGGCGTACTCACCTGTGCTTCCCGTCGGTGCCCAACACTACTACAAGAGCTCGTTTGACGCGCTGAAGAGCATCTGGCGAGCGGAAAAGTTCCGCGGCTTGGTACGAGGTGTGGATGCCGCAGCCCTGCGTACGGCAATGGGTTCTTCGGTACATAGCACTCTGTGCATCACAAGCACTCTTGCGCTAACGCTGGCATTCATAGGTACAACTACCTTCATACAACTGGACGAAGAACCAGCTGGTTAGCCGTGGTCTTGCGCGCGGTGATAGCATATGGACATTCCTGGCAAGCAGCACCGTGTCCGGACTCTGTGTGGTAAGGCTCTCATGCAACTATGTTCAGTGCAGCTGCCTGATATCTCGTTTGACTGCAGCTCGCGATGATGCAACCGACGGATACTGTACTAACTCGAATGTATAATCAACCTACCATACCCACACCTGACGGAAGACATGTCGGTGCACTGTACAAGAACCCCTTAGATTGCTTGTGGAAAACGTTGAAGGCAGAAGGTCCTCTCGGCTGGTACAAGGGTGAACGATGAAGTTGTATTGTTTTCCAGCTGAGGACCATGTTGACGTGCAATTATTACAGGTTCAACCGCACACCTCCTCCGGATAGTTCCTCACACGTAAGTCCTTTCGCGATATGATCCCGGTCATTATACTGACGCTAAGGACGTCAGGATCGTCACTCTCACTGCGAACGATATCATAGTCGGATTGTACAAGCGTGTGCGCGATGGTCATCCTTAAACTACTATACATGCTCGTAGATGCAATCCATCGCTGTTACATATCTCTATCGTTCACACGCTGTGTCGACCGTTGTCCCTCTGGCTCGAGCTGCCTGAGTCTTTAACAGTATCGAGGTACTGGATCGAGAGCCGAGACACCAGGAAAAAGCACATTCTCAGTCCAGGATAATCCAGGAAAGGGTAGGAAAAAAGAGCATATATCATTGAACCCTGCCCGGATTGAACGGACGACCTTGAGGATTTCCCATACTGGAATCTCACGCGCTACCACTGTGCCAAGGGTTCGTTATAGTGTAAATCCTTCAGCTTTATCCGGAGTAAAGGTCTGGCTCAAGCCCGGCTATGTATGGCTTGTTCCAACCTCCAAGTTGCCATGCTCGCATCTTGTTGAACTTCACTGCACTTGTGCCTGTAGGTTGTCTAGAATTTTCCCTAGGCAGCCCCACGATCCGACATGTCGTATTGAGCCTGCAAGTGCTTTTCATACTCTTGACCATACTTGCAACAAATCTAATCGGGGTGGAACGTCGGTAGACTGCAGTTCTCAAGAAGGGCTATTCCAACACCATGTGAACTGCCGGATCTCGCTCCTCGTCACCTCGTTATACGTCTAGTAACTTATCGAGTCTCAAAATTACCCGGCGACCTCCGCGATACCAGGCCGGACACACTTTGGGTTCTGCCGCCTGCTAGCACGAAACCAAAGCACCGGACTATGCGCGCAATGGGTCGAGTCATACTCCACATTTATATTCAAGGTCTGGGAAGGACTGACTCGACAAGTTCTCACCACAGAAATTGCAGTACTTCAGTCTTCGGAATGGATTGGTGGTTGCTCCGACCCCTAGCTTGCTCAACATATCACCCGTGCCTATGAGATGACTTCGCATACCAAGCGCATCCTCCTTCTCGGGGTTGGGGCCGTAGCGCGCCCTTGTGCGGAGTACATATCGCGGAGACAGGAGAACGTACTCACTGTCGGTACGTGTCCCTTGGTTGGGATGTCGATTAACACTAGAGGCCTCATCCCGTTCCATGTCAAGCATGCCGTACGCTTACAAGCGCGGAAGCTCTTGCGAACGGTCTTCGCAACACGACGGCAACGGTGCTCGACGCAGGTTCAGACGACCCTGAGAAGCGTGCTGCAGTGGAAAAGGCCGTCGCTAAACACGACTTGGTCATCTCCTTGGTCCCGTACGCATACCACCCCAATGTGATCAAGGCGGCGATCAAGGGGAAGACGCATGTCGTTACGACAAGCTACATAAGCCCTGCGATCCGTGAGCTTGAGGATGAGATCAAGAAAGCGGGTATCATAGTCATGAACGAGATTGGACTTGACCCTGGCGTTGATCACCTCTACGCCGTGAAGGTCGTGGACGACGTGCATGCGAAGGGCGGAAAGGTCCGTTGCGATGAAGTTTCATCCTGCCCTTATGTGAGACTCATGTCTATGCACAATGCAGGTCAAGGAGTTTTACTCCTTCTGTGGAGGTCTGCCGGCACCGGAGTGCTCTGGAAACCCTCTGAGATACAAGTTCTCATGGTCCCCACGCGGTAATCTGCTTGTGCATCTCAACTCGGCGACGTATCTTGCAGGCGGGAAGGAGGTTCATATTCCAGGCAAGGACCTCATAAATTCTGCGAAGCCGTATCCGATTGTCGATGGACTCTCCCTCGTGGCCTTCCCAAACCGGAGCTCTCTTCCATTCCGCGACACCTACCAAATTCCCGAGGCGGAGACGGTGATGAGAGGGTCGGTGCGCTACACTGGCTTCCCAGAATACGTGAATGCGCTCGTCGCGCTCGGGCTACTCAATCCCGACCCGCAACCATGGTTGCAAGATGGTCTTACATTGGCAGAGATTCTGCAACACACGACCGGAGCTGCGGATGCATCCGAAGAGTAAGTTGATGGTGCCACGTTCTGTAGAGAGGGCTGACCGACACCTACTGTACGTGGTGTAGGACTCTTGTGGAGCGGGTGAAGGAGCTCTGTCAGTTCCCCGACGAAGAAGAGAGCACTCGTATTATCTCGGGCCTGAAGTGGATTGGCATCTTCTCTAGTGACAAGGCCGAGATTCGCTATGGCAACCTGCTCGACACCCTGTGTGCGCGCCTCGAGCCGCTCATGAAGTTCAGTGAGGGCGAGCGTGACCTGGTCATCTTGCAGCACAAGTTCGTGGTTCAATGGGCCGACGGGAAAACCGTAGGTACACATACGCCTCTACTTGCTTTGATGTTAACCTCCTCCTCAGAACACGATCACTTCGACGCTTGAAGCATACGGAGAGCCTAACGGACACTCGGCGATGGCGCGCTACGTCGGTGTGCCGTGTGGCATAGCTGTCCAGAGTGTCCTTGATGGATTCTTCAAGGCACCTGGCATCTATGCTCCTCACACGAAGGAGATATGCGATCCACTTCGTGCACAGGTCGAGGCTGAAGGCATGGGTTTGGTAGAGAAGACATTCTAATGCTGGAATGTGGCGAGTCGCCGCCGGTGGGATCCATAGGATGCTAGCTGTCGCCTGCCCATAGTCGTTGTGCTGCGTCAGCATACATTACCAATCACTTCATCATGCATAGAAGATCGCTCCTCTAAGGTCCTTTCCCGTCCGTCTCTGAGACAGCGTATCGCATGAAGCATGTGCATGAAGGCTTTACCATCGGACGCCCATGTGACGCCGCTATGTGATACCACACCGCTTCTGCGCTTCCTTACTTCCCTTCTACCACGTTCATATCCAGCTCAGCAACCTCCAGCACACGCAACGGTCTCAAGCCCACCCGCTGATATCCTGATATCGTCGTCACGGTCAACAGTGGTGCGTCAAAGAAATCTTCCAAACGGGTTGCGGAGTCTAACGAATAACATGAAGGGAACACATAGACCACTCTGTTCGGTGTCACTGAGCAGCTCTCAACGGGCAATACGTCACATCGTCCAACGTTTCGTTACTGGCGCACTGAATGTCTGAAATGAGCGCACACGGAGTTGTGAAGGATCCTGAGCTTTGGTTTCAAGACGGAAACGTCGTTCTCCTCGCACAAAGCAGCGCCTTCCGCGTACACCGAAGCATACTCTCCCGCCACTCTGAGGCCTTCAGCAGTTTGTTCACTATCCCTACTCCCTCTGCTCCAGACTCTCGGGACAAGTGGATGGCCTTCCTGTCATTCCTGTTTCGGATTCAGCGCATGACTTCAAGCATCTGCTCCATGCCCTATACGATGGCTCCAAGTAAGTTCTACGCAATAGGCACCGCGGGACATATCAGATCCAACTGACGTGGACCATGGGTCTCAGTTACTTGAAACATGGAGAGCCGCTTCCGTTCGCTGTCCTAGCTGCCCTGGCCCGTCTCGCACACAAGTACCAGCTCGACGAACTGCTGTCGGGGGCATGCGGCCGCTTAGCCTCAGTGTTCTCAGCCGACTTCGACCAATGGCGGATTACGTGCGGCGCGAGTAACACGCTCGTGTCCCTCGAGTCGACAGACGCCATCGAGGCCTTCCATCTCTTCAGCCTCATCGGACGCACCGACATGATCCCCACTGCCCTGTATGCATGCTGTCAACTTCCCTTCCGTGACCTCGTACAAGGCGTGGTACGCGCGGATGGGACACTCGAGAAGCTCTGCGCCGAGGACCTTGAACGGTGCCTGTCCGTTCGTGAATTCTTCACGACAGCTTTCGCATGGATGTCGCTGACATTCCTGGACGTGGACCCCCACGTGCGATGCACCCGACCCGCGCTATGCGCTGAGGGCATCCACAAGGTCAGATTGGGGCCGCTATCCGGCCCAGACATCTGCCAGGGGACGGAAGTCCTCTCTAATCACTTCTCGTTCCTCGCCAAGTCGATGGAGGCAGACGGATTTATATGCGGCGAGTGCTTGGGCATGCTGCTTGCTCGGCAATACGATCTTCTCCGGAAGTTATGGTTGGGCCTTCCAGTACTGATGCAGTTGGAGGATATCGAGTGGCCTTCGGGGGCATAGGGATCATCTGGCCCATCTCCGCTGTATGACATACCCATTCCGCACACCAACGATAGATCGTGTTGTCGGGCATCGACTATGAGAGTTTCCAGATAACCTTGTATTGAACCTGGCTAGCACGTAAAACTAGGGTACATTGCGCATCATGACCTTCCGAGACAGACAGAAACAGAGACTTTTGGAATGAGGATGATGGAGATGAAGGAGACCCGGGGGAGAGCACGAAACCCCGGCTACTGCGTCTGCGTTTGTAGGTGAGCGAGACTGGGGTCAGGACAGCATCATATGCACGTACCACTTAGTAAGTCGAGCCGATGGGGCCGTACTTGATGTTGGAGTAGATAACAGTCGCGCCGGGACTGTTGGCCTCAACGTCCTTGGGGTCTCCGGACGTGGTCGGGCACGGACCACGAGAGACACCCGGCGTCGACGCGTCCTTGTCGAGGGGGTAGTCGGAGTCGAGCCAGAGCATCTTGGCTGCGTGGTCGTCCCAGATGGACATGACGAGGACCATACCCTTGTCAAAGGACTGGCCCATCACGTTGAGGCCACCAAGGCGCTCGAAGGAGTTGTTGTCGCCGAACGCGGTCTTCTGGGCATTGCAGAACGCGTCGGTGATGGAGTCGTACTGAGACATGCCGGAAATCTTCGTCTTTGAGTTGGCGATGACCTTGCCGTTCTGGACGTAGAGGCGGCGAATCTCGGAGAGGGTGCCGGAGGTGGAGTTGTTGCTCGTCAGGAACTGGGTGACGACCGTGAACTTCTTCGACGTGTCAACGGTCTTGCCGACGCCGAGGAAGGTCTGGTCGCCCATGCGCCACGAGTTGAAGTCGCAGCCGTCCTTGTCGCAGATACCGCCGTAGCGGTTATCGCCGTCACCGCAGTCGTTGCCCGAGCAGCGGGTCTGACTCTGGACGGAGCAGACGTGGGGCGTCACAGCAGCGCCCTGCGAGTTGGCCTCCCAGATATCCATCTCGTTACAGCAGGTACCGTATCTGCCCGAGCCAGCGTTCGAGTCGCTGGTCGACGGCTGCCAGTCGAGGACGTTGGCCTAAGGAGGGAGGGAGGAAGGTCAATATGTGAAGGAACGGACTACTGTGGGGGGCGAATTCACCTCGCCGTTGATGAACTTGATGTCGTGAGGACACTGGGTGTCGCAGTAACCAGTACCAGTACTTGGCACCAGCCTTGTTGGCGGAGAAGCGAGACGTGCCGCCATCAGCGTCCATCTCGACGAAGTACAGTGCGCCGTTAAGACCACAAGGGAGCTGCGACATGTCGACA